GTTTTATTTGGGGATAATATAATAGGTACCTACTATGACAAATAATGTACACCTACGTTGATTATTTCCATGATTTTGTTTATTTTTCACTTGGTAAATTTAAAAGATCATTTTTTTTATTTATTTTTTAAATTACTTAAATTTTGTTTTAAAAAGTATTGCATTTTTCTCTTAGGATTTTTCAACTTTATTATACGTCAKCTTAGGAGAACTTATTGAGGTGTGAATTATGATTGTAATTTGTAACCAACTTCATAATATTATTTAATTTTATAAACGAATTGTTGCTTGCGTAAAATGTCAAAGCCAGTTAGATTAAAAAAACATAAATCACTAATAAACCTGGAAAACATTAAATTGTTTTTGTTGTAGTTTTTAGATTTATTAGTTTTCATGTTTGGTATTGTTGAGTTATTTTGTTAAGTTATTAAACTTTTRTATTTTTACAATYTCGTAGTTCTAACGGTTATGTATTTTAATTATATGTTTTTATTAGTTAAGTTTTAAAGACTTWTGTACGACTTACGTAAATTATCATCTTTGGTCTTGTGGATATCTTTCAGTATTATGAAATGGGAATTATTAATACGTTTTTTATAATCACTACTGATCATAATTTTTTATATTTTTTGTTCTTACGATGAGATTAGGTGCCTATTATTTTATAGAGGATCATCGTGTTTTGAAGTAAAAGATTCACTTCAGAAATAAATATYGAGGGTTGAATCTAGTTTGTACTTTGGGGTTTAAAAATTACCCACTCTGGTAGACGTATCTCAAAAATTTGAASTATAGGTACAATTTTGTAATATCAATATAGTTGCAGAGTTTACAGTTACAGTGATGTATTTTTTTTTTATATATAGGTTATATGTATAAACATATATTGTTTGTCATTAAAAGTAGAGAGTTTTGATAATTACTCCACTGGAATGATTTTAATGTCACATCAAAAACATCATTATATTATAGATTAATTACTTAGATAATAATTTATCGTATTATTTATTAATAACATTTTACCCATCATACTATTGTTATTGTGACTATATTTTATAGTTTTAAAATATTTAAAGTTGAATTTGCTATAAAATTTAGTGAGYTGTACAGATCATAAACTTTATCGTAATGTAATGTAGATCATAAATATTCCGATGGTTAAATAATTGCAGCTATAAATAATTGTATTTCCAAATGTATTTTTTGTATCTGATAATTTAATATTATAATAATATTAAAAAAAAATAATAACACAAATGAATATTAAGTTTCGAAAATAAAATGTAGCGCTATACACAATGAACAATATAATTATCATTTTTATCGATCATACTTGATGGAAGTAATTTTTGGAATTATTTATTGTAGCTCGAGTATAGTTTCTCGAATAGTTTTAAGAAATAGYGAATATAACGTATAAATCCAAGAGTTATCGTTTTGACTTTGATGTCTTGACCATTTTCCGCGTAAATCGGGCACTGCACAGAATACATTTTTTCTTTTTCTTTCAACATTTAAATACATCTGCAATCTAAGCCGTCGTGACTGTGTGTTTATGAGTATCATGGTGAGCATAATAATTAATAATCAACGAGAACTTAGTGATTAGTTTTCTTTGCTTGATACTAAGAACGTTCTAAAATCTGCCGTTCCTTTCGCTATGCATATATTATGCGTTCAAGACATGAAAAGGAGTGTATAAAATAAAACTTGCYTTTTTTTCTCTTATTTTATTTCTCGGAGTAATCCACTCGTTGGCTTATATCATTTAGAGCATGCAGTGATCAACAGCAACGGTTGCATTATTTCATGCACACAGCCTCCAGTGATGTCGAGAAAATTTGCCATCTTGTTATAAGCGACATAAATCATGTCGTAGTCTTTTCTCGTCCATCTAACCCTACTTCGCTAGTTATAGATTAGTAGATTGCAATCTAGGTACTCATATACAAAATATGTATGTATTATCTCTTTTAGCTGTAAAATTGTGATGATTTTTATTTGATATATATTGCATATTATGTGTGCGTATTTTATTGGTCACTTGATAAAATTGAAATTTTGCAATTTTCAACGAAAAGAAAAATGCTTCTGTAAGTATGTGAGTAATATACGCGCTGTACTGCACGACGAGTCATCGTTTCAAACTCTCGCCAGTTAAACTGCACCATGGTTTAGTTGCCCCCGTTTATTTACYCATCACCCGATCACCCGGCCTGGTAAATTTGTTTTCGTGAATCACGTGATTCAAAATAGTAATAATAATATGTAGTACWTACACATCCCTTTCACGCCTCCAATGAAAACGACGACAGCGCGACGACYCGACATCGATTGTGTGCAGCACATGCATTGTACAAAATGTATTTTATTGCCATTTGCGCGGTGAATCGTTCGACTATGGTGGTGTGTGTACGTCGAGAGTATAGGTGTGGGTGTAAGTGGAGAAGTGTGTTTTGAGAATGATTGGAAACGTTCACCCACGCCTTGTAGGAGGTATCTATATAATTTAGCTCTCATTATAATTTATATTATAATATAAATAGGTAGGTACATATATGCGCCAATTATTGTGTACATAGTGTCGATAATATGATAATATTGTCGTTCTATTTATTACTGTGATTGAAGTTAGTAGTAGTCTGCCTTTGCCCCGCACATATTATATATATATATGCTCTGAGCGAGGTGTAAATCAGCGTGCAAGTATATAGTAATATAGATCTCTGTGGTGGTACGTTCTGTGGGCTACAGTGAAGAGAACAGCGGTGCCGAATGGATTGAAATTCATACGCGGGGGTTCTCGCCCGCAGTGTATACATGACACACACAAGTATATACATATGTGCAGTGAAACTATATAATATTAGATATATTATATACATATATATATATAATATCAGCCAACACCATCGCCCGGCGTTGGAGGTGGCGCCCGCTAGGGGTGGCTGGCTGGCGAGTGGCGAGTGGGTTTCTAGGATGTGAAAAAACGGACCGAACGGCTAAAGTTTTGGGATCTCATCGTTTCTCGTTGTCGCGCCGTATACGCAGACAGATAGATCGTCTCATTGCTATACGATTGTTTATATAGCATAATAATATACTATACACATTTTTATCGTCCAGAAATATATCGCGCGTGGTGCCGCTGGTTACGACCATCCCCGYGGCTGGTATACAAAATACTTTACGTCAAATCATCGTTATCGAGACCTCCACCTTCGACCCTCCCCGCGGCAKAGGGCCGAGTTACTCCACCAACCCWCCYCCCWCCRCGACACATTCGTATATATGTGTGTGTGTGTTTGTTGTACCTACATATTATATATMAAATATAGGACGAACGAGCCTTATCGATTGGCTGTATTGTGTCCCATTATGTGTGACCTCCTCCCCTCCCGTAACTTTTTACCGCCGTCAGTAGGCCAAGAAACGACGGTGACCATATCCTGCGGGACACACAATAATCATAATTCATAATATATATTATGGTGTACGCTCACGATAGAGATCTGTCTCGTCGCTCGCCYAAGACGTGCAGGGTAYAGTCATAGGCGTGCGCACTGGGGGGGCCGGGTGGGCCGCGGCCCCCTCTGCGGCCTCTGGCTTTTTCTTTAATAAATGCATAGATATGTACATTATACTAGACAGCGAAATTTTTATATTTTACAAAAAAAAAGTGAAGCCAGTTTTAATCTARTAGTATAAATAAAATATAAATGTGATTAAGTTATTATTTTATTAATTAATCAATTATCATCACACAAGAATCTTTAGTTCGGATCTTTTTAAGGCCCCCCCCC